GGACTGTCAGGCTGCTTCTTTTCCCTCTAAATCCACTGTGAGCTTTAAGTGAGAAAAGTTATGCTGTGTGCCTGGTACACAGTTGATGCTTGCCTGTGTGTGTGTGTGTGTGTGTGTGTGTGTTTCTTAAAGATTTTATTCTAAGTAATCTCTACACCCGACGTGGGGCTGGAACTCACCACCCCGAGATCAAGAGTCAGCTCCACGGACTGAGCCAGCTCGGCGTCCCTGCCTGTGTTTTTGAGAGGGCTTAAGATCCAGGCTCTCGGCCTTCTCTCTCTTCACTGCTTCTACTCAATTTGTTTCCTCTCTGCCTCGCTCACCCTTCGCCAGACTGTCAGATCTCCCAGGAGAGGGGTTTCTGTGGGTGCTTGGCACACACACTAGGCGCACCAGCAATGTTTATTAAAGGGGACGAACTCACTCGGGCTTCAGCCATGGGGAGCTAGGCAGGGCGGGCTGCGGGTGATTTGGATCGACTTTGGAGAAAGTTTGGAGACTTTAGGGAACTGCCCCGGGCGGGGGGGCGGGGGGGGGGTAGTCCTGCCTCGAAGCCCTCCAGAGGCTGCCTGGAAGGACTGGTGACTGATGTGGAGATGGGGGTGGGCGGCCAGGGCGAGGCCCAGAAGGAGGGAGGGGAGGAGGGTGCATCTCCTTTTCAGCAGCCCTCAGCCCGCCCCTTGGCCTCCACCGAGGGTGGGCGGATGAGTAATGCATCCAGGAAGCCTGGAGGCCTGCGGTTTCCGCACCGCTGCCGCCCCCGCCCCTCGCGTGGACATTTATCCCCCGCTGCTCAGGCCCTGCCGCCATCGCCGCAGACCCGGCGCCCCGAGAGATACACCGCAGGTAGGCTGGGGCCCCGGGTGGCCCCGCGGGGCCTGGAGCTGGGCTGGAGCCTTCCTGCCGGACCCCTGGCTGCTCAGCCCGGCCGGCGGGTTCCGGGACCCCGGGCTGGTCAAGGGGAGGAGGGCGGGAGGGTCCTGGACCGGCTCCCCCGATTCCCACACTCCAGACTCCTTGGAACCCCGACATCTATCCCCGACTCCTCCGAACCCAGGAGCCCCTAATATCACAGCTGCCTTCCAGGCCGCCAACTCCCCTAAATTCTGCCCCCCCAACCCTCCAGACTCCTAAATCCCCAACTCCACAACTTTCTCTGCTCCCAAATCCCTCAGGCACCCTGCCCCCTTAAGTCCCTAAACTCCCTGAACCCCCAAGCTCCTCCCAATTCCTCAGCGTCTCTCCACTGCCCCCAATCTCAATATGCACAACCCCGAAACCCCAAACGCCTCCAGCTCCCCAGACCCCAAATTCCTCACCCCCAGCTTCTCGACCTTCCAACTTTCCAACGCCCCTAAATCCCGCAACCCCTCTGCCCCCTATTCTTCAAACACCACAGTCTCATGGCCCCCCACTCACCCAGTCCCTGAAATTGCTCAACTCCCAGACTCTCCCAACCCCCAGCCCTCTCAGCTCCTCTGGGCTTCCAAATCCCCGCCCCCCTTTAAAATCTCCACACTCCCCAACCCTTCAAGCCCAGAGTGCAGCAGCTTAATCCCCTTCCAAGCTGGCGGCGGCGGCGGCGGGGCGGGGGGCGCTGCCCACGTCCGCAGAGGACCGCTGAGCCCTCCTCCCCACCCCGCAGCACCCACCATGGCACCCCTTGCGCCCCTGCCCTCCTGCATCCTGTTGTTGCTGTGGCTGCCGGCCCCTAGCAGGGCCTGTACCTGTGCCCTGGTGCACCCGCAGATGGCCTTCTGCAACTCCCAGATCGGTGAGTGTACCCCACTCTGCCCCCTACACTCTGCGCTTTGGTTTCCCCTCAGTCCCGCGGGGTTCACAGCGGTGCCTACCTCTAGGACAGTCCCACTCAGCCCTGCCCTGACTCTTGTAGCCGCACTGCCACGCTCAGGCTTCCCTGATTACTCCAGGCCCAATCCCACCTCAGGGCCTTTGTACTGGCGGCTTCCTCTGCCTGGTACACGCTTCCCCGCAGGTATCCACACGGGGGGCGGCCCCAGACGTCGGGACGGTCTTCCTCGACCACCCTGTTCGGAATCCCCTAGTACTCCTGATGCCCGGCTCTAAAATTCCTCATCACACTGACTACCTTCCATACACTTATTATTTTGCTTCTCTTGAGTCTCCTCCTGCCTAGAATGTGAGCTCCACGAGGGAGCGGGCTTCCGTCTTTTTTGTTCACTGTTGTGTTCCTAACACCCAGAACAGTGCCCGGCACACAGCGGGCTCTGAAATACTGCTTGAGCGAATGAGCACACGATGAATACAGGAGAAGGGCTTAAAGCAGCTCCCGACAAAGAGAAGTCACTCGGTGTACAGATGCTTCAGTTAACCAGTGTGTACCTCGCTTAGCGAGCCGGCTGGCATTCCGGCGATCCCTAGTGAAATACGTGGTTCGCGGGTGTTAGTACCGTGATTATGTTATTTTATTGGCTCGTGCAGCCCATTTGACTCGTCTTTCCCCCCCCCTCCCTCCTGCAGTCATCAGGGCCAAGTTCGTGGGGACCGCAGAAGTCAACCAGACCAGCTTAAACCGGCGTTACGAGATCAAGATGACCAAGGTATCCGTCCTGCCCTTTCCCCAGCACTGCCTAACATCTGCCTTCCCGTCAAAGTCAAAGCCGAGGAAGTTAGCTGTGATGTCAGGATGCTAAGGAGGACTTCAGGGAAGAGTGTGGAGTGGGAGGGCTGTGTCAGTAAACGAGACTCTTGCCCTCCTCCGTCGACAGATGTTCAAAGGGTTCAACGCCTTGGGGAATGCCTCTGACATCCGGTTCATCGACACCCCCGCCCTGGAGAGCGTCTGCGGATACGTGCACAAGTCCCAGAACCGCAGCGAGGAGTTTCTCGTCGCCGGTGAGGCCCCGCCCCCTCGCCCCGTCCCTCCGACGCTGCCCGGCAGCCGGGAGCGGGCGACGCTCCGAGGGGCTGGTCCCCGTTGAAATGGGGACCGCCCCGGTTTCAGCCCATCGGGAAAGGGGAAAGCCGGGGGCTTTGCCCAGCGGGGGTCTGTGCGCCCGGGACGCCAATCAGGCGCCGCCTTGCCCCCGCCACCCCGGCCCAGCCCATCAGCTGCTGCCTGTTGCCCACCCCCACCCCAGGAAACCTGCAGAACGGACACCTGCAGATCAACAGCTGCAGTTTCAAAGCTCCCTGGAACAAGTTGAGTAGCGCTCAGCGCCGGGGCTTCACCAAGACTTATGCTGCCGGCTGCCAGGAGTGCACAGTGAGTGCGGGGGGGGGGGGACTGCCCGCCGCCTGGGGAGCGGTCCTCGGACTGCTCCCCAAACCGTGGCTTGTTTCTTGCTCTCTCTGGCCATTGCTTGTCCGTAGGGCTGCTACCCGAACCCTAGGGCTGTCCCTGATCTCTCTTGCTGTTCCCCCGAAGCTGACACTGTTCCCTGGAAATTCTGGTTGTTCTTAGCTCTGTGTCTGATTCCGCCGTTCCCTGGACTGTCAGGCTGCTTCTTTTCCCTCTAAATCCCCCTTGTGACTATTTTCTAGTCCCTCTGTCTATTCCTGACCGCCCCCCCCCCCCCCACCCCGCCTAGGGATTGTGTCTTGCTTTCCTAGAATGTTCTCCAAGAACCCAAAGTGCTGCTCCCCCAGCCCAGCTCATCCGATTCTTGCTCTGCCTGCCTCACACACAGGGGTGTGGTCCATTGCCCTTCGGACTAGGCCAAGGCTGTCTCCTGATGGCCCTGAATGCCCTCTGATCCCAGGGGCTGTGTCTGAGCCCCATGGCTCTTTCCTATGCCCAAGTCCGTCCCTTCCCCCCCCGCCGCCCCACCAGCTGTTCCCTGCTACTGCTACTTGTTCCCTATCCTTTGGGATAGTTCCCCTGGAAGCCTGCCTGCCCTCTTCCTCCCCCCCCCCCCCCCCCCCCGACTGTGTCCCAACCGGCATTCCAGGAAACTGATCACAGTTCGCTGGATTGCCGTCACCTTGCCAAGCCCAGTGACTGTTCCTCCAGTGGGAGGGGCTACTCTTGAGTCCCTCCCCAGGTAGGGCAACACCAGGTCTCCCCAGCAGCTCCATGTTGAAAACTGAGGAGGGGAAGGTTCCGCTGTGTAGGGGAGGTAGGGGCAGGGGGAGAAGCCCTCAGAGATGTGCCTCTCTCCCCTCCCCTAGGTGTTTGCCTGCTCATCCATCCCCTGCAAACTGCAGAATGACACTCATTGCTTGTGGACAGACCAGTTCCTCAAAGGCTCGGACAAGGATTTTCAGAGCCGCCATCTAGCCTGCCTGCCCAGAAAGCCGGGGCTGTGCACCTGGCAGTCCCTGCGGCCCCAGATGGCCTAAATCCTACCCCCGGCGGAAGCCGAAGCCTGCCCAGTGTCCACCCCACTTCCCGCTCCTGTCTTTCTTTATCCCACAAGACAGTGAAATAAAGAACTACTATCCAGCAGGCAGCGTCCCTGTGTCATGTCTGGGGACCAACCCATGTTGCCGATGACCTGGTGGGCATACCCGGGGACCGAGGCCGAGGGGGGTGAGGGATGCCAAATGTTGGCTTTTGTGTATTTCACCTATAATTTCAGGCATTGGTAACCATTCTCCACGTCGGCATTAGCCTTGGTGACCTGCCACGTCCGCGGGGGCCATTTAACCTGCATTATCCACCACAACGTATCGGCTAATCTCTCTGCCCGATACCGTAGAACATTTTCCCAGACTAATTGATGATTCCTATTTGCACAGCCCTCTCTAGAAAATGATCCCACTACTGACAAATCACCACCTCACTGGCAAATCCCTCCAGTTGACAAGCTCGTTGACAAATGTCTTATCGATCCAATTTTAGTATATGTGCTACCGAAGCGAGCACGACAAATGTCTTATCGATTGGCAAACAGCTCTCTTCCCCCGGGCACTGTCCTGATGTCATCCAGGAGGATGTCCTGCTCCATCCACGTCTGTGGCTGTTACCGTCCCCACCCTTAGGTTTTGTACTGCGAGTCTGACTTGAGTGAAAAGGGAAAGCTCGGGGGGGGGGGGCGAGGGGCTCAGGGTGCCCCCCTCCCCTCCCACTACATAACCCAGCCAGGGCCTCTGAAAGAAGGGGTAGCCCTGGCTCCCCACCCATGGCCTGCGGGAGATTCCTCGGAAGTGGCCATTTGGGAAATAGGAGGGGTGAGGAGAAGGTGTGATCTGGAAATCCCCAAGCTCTGCCCTTCTCCCCCTTCCCCTACCTCTCCTCCCCTCACTCCTTTTTTTTTTTTTTTTAAGATTTACTTATTTATTGGAGAGAGAGAGAGAGAGAGCACGAGCATGGAGGAGAAGCAGAGGCAGAGGGAGAAGCAGACTCCCCTCTGAGCAAGGAGCCCGACGCGGCTCAGTCCCAATCATGACCTGAGCCAAAGGCAGCCGCTTAACGACTGAGCCACCCAGGCGCCCCTGCAGCGACAATTTCTATGTCAACATCTAGACCTTGGTTATGCCCTGGCAGGGGAAAATGGCCACCTTCGCTCATGGGTATGACCATAAGGGCCCTGGTGGCCTTGTTGCTCTTGGCTCAGCTGCTCCTAACAGGTCACCAAACCCTAGTAGCAGCTCCCTGCATTCTTACGCCGTTGTTCCCTGACCCCGGGGCCCATTCTCTGAGCCCTCAGCTATTTTAATCCCTAGGAGGAAGGTGAGGTAGAATGAGGCAGTGGAAAAGGACGGAGCCCAGTGTGGAGGCCGCGCTCCTGCCGACCTGCCCACCAGCAGGTGGTGCCCTGGTTTGAGACATCGTGCTTCAAGGCCAGGCCTGACCACGAGGCCCTACGGAGGCCAGAACAGCATACAAGGCCGCCTCCCACAGACCCCGGCAGGAGCCCCTGGCAGGATTTCTGTCATCCTGGGGTCACTACATTCCCCCCATCGCTCTTCTAGAAAATTTACTCAAGCGAGTGAAGTGAGAACCCCCCCCCCCGCCCCCACGTTCCATGTGTCTGGGTGTGAATCTCTGCTTGGGAGAGACTGATGGCTGAGAGGAAGCACGTGGGGGTGACAGCCCTGTGAAGTGTACAGCAAGGGGGGGTTCCGGCTCAATGGGTGGCTTGGGGGCCGGCCCTTCCCTCACCTGAGTCTCAATACTTCTCCCTAAAAAATGGGCCTCACAGTCCCTACCTAGAATCCTTCTGAGGTCCGTGCTAGGGTTGGAGGATGATTAATGGGTGTGTTCGTCCCTTGGGTATTTTTTCAGGTCAGAACACGAAACGCTTATAAATAAGAAATTCACAGGTAATATTACTAACAGTGGCTTAATTTCTAGACAGGCGACGTCTAACGGTTAAGAACATGAACGCTGGAGCAACGTCATTTGCATTCAAGTGCTGCCTTTTCCACGTACTAGCTCTGTGTCCTTGGGGAAATCACATTACCTCTTTGTGCCTCAGTTTCCACATCTGTAAAATAGGGATAAAAAGAATGCCTAACTCGCAGGGATAACGTGAGCAATAACTGAGGTCATACATGTCTAATGCCTGGAACAGTGCATGGAACATAGCACTTACAAGTATTAGTTATTATGATTAGTAGCAGTATGAGAAATATAATTTAATGTGTAACTTTAGTAGTGATAATTTGTATCAGTAACGATTATTTAGAGTAAGGAAATAATGTATGATATCAATTGTAATAACTTAATGCACTCTGAAAACCTTGGTTTAACTTGTGATCCTGATAATCTACCCCCCAGAGACGTTACAAATATTTAGTATGTTCATTTGTGATGTTCTTATTATCCTGAACCTTGTATACTTTTTCCCAGTGTGCAAGTCTCCCCAACTGAAAAACACCAACATTTTCAAAGACTTCTATGGGAACCCCTCCCCCCAGTGATAATGTTCCCCACTATGAAGTCCTCACTGTGGATGACGAATCACCACACTTACAAATCTCTTCTGTTGCCAAGACGGCAGGTGAAAAATTTCTAAGTCTTCGGTAAATCTTTCCTTGGAAAAGTTCCCTCTCCTCACTGTACAAATCCCCTCTTTCACAAATCCCCCATAACAAATACCTCTGTTGAGCCTTATTTATAAATATCGCATTGACATAACCCCATTGACGACCCCCATTGACAAATCTCCCCGTTTACAAATACCTGGCAGCAATCCATCACCCATTGATGGATCCCAGTGACAAATACCTCTCTTCATAATTACCCACCGTTTGCATATCCCTTACTGACCACCCAGGTGACAAATCTATTTATAAATTATATATTCCCTATTTATGACATAATTCCCATTGACAATCTTTTTTAAAAGATTTTATTTTGGGACGCCTGGGTGGCTCAGTCAGTTAAGTGCCTTAGGCTCAGGTCATGATCCCAGGGTCCTGGGATCAAGTCCCACATCGGGCTCCTTGCTCAGCGGGGAGTCTGCCTCTCCCTCTGCCCCTCCCCTTCCGCTCCTGCTCACGCTCTCTCTCTTTCTCTCTCAAAAATAAATAAAATCTTTTTTAAAGATTTTATTTATTTATTTGACAGAGAGAGAGAGCACAAGCAGGGGGAGTAGCTCCAACCTGGAGCTTGAACTTACAAACCCAAGATCAAAAGACGCATGTTTCATCTACTGAGCCAGCCAGCCACCATCCCCCACTGACAATCTTTATTGACAAATCACCCTATTCCTGTATCTCTACCCACTGACATATCTCCTCATTCAGACATGCCCATCAAAATGCTCCCATTGATAAACCCCCTTGTCAAATCTTCCCATTCAGAAATACCCACCATTGATATCCATCTCATTGATAAGTCCGTTTGAAAATCTTTCCATTCATTGAACCCCAGCCTTCCATATGGTCCCCTATTGATCGACCCCCATTGAAATTTCCCCATGCTTAGATATCTCCAGTTGGAAAAATCTCCTTGCTAGAACAGTTCCCAGTGTATTACCATATTACCATATATGTTGAAACATCTCTCCCCACCCCATCAATGACAGATGAAGAGGTAGATTTCTTTTCTTTCTTTCTTTTTTTTTTTTTTTTGATTTTTAAAATATTTTTTAAGTAATCTCTACACCCAACCTGGGGCTTGAACTCACAACCCCGAGATCAGGAGCCACACAACACTCCATTGACTGTATGACTGAGCCAGCCAGGCGCCCCAGATGAAGAGGCAGATTTCTCTAATAAGACCAGTCCTTTCTTTTTCTCCAAAGTGGCTGACACCTCTGTCTCACTATCCAGCCCTGGACACCTCCTATACAGTAGTAGTGGAAAATCTGAGGACCAACTCTTATCACACTGTAGAGCTCCCACCAAAGGAAACAATTAGGGCGCAAGTTGTCTTTCAGTGTGAGAGTGAAGGTGGGGCTTTTTTTTTTTTTTT